CTGGCTCCCCAACCAGGGATCAAACCCATGTCCCCTGCATTGCAAGGCAGAGTCTTAACCACTGGGCCACCGGGGAAGTCCCTGAGGGCTTGTTTTCTTTCTGTTTTTCTTAGCGTTTGTTCAGATTCTCGGTCTATGTCATATTTGGGAAAACTTTGACCATTATTTTCTCCCAGTATTTTCTTTTCTTTCAGAGAATCTAATAACACATATTATAGAATGCTTATTACCCTATTTATGCTTATTTCATTGAAAAAATCTTTTCCTTCCCTAAATGAGTTTGGATGTCTGTTAACTTGTTCTGAAGTTCCTTGAAGCTTTTCTCTGTGGTGTCCAATCCTCCCATTTGAAATTTTAGATTGTAGACATTATATATATATATATATATTATTTCTTACATTTCTATTTAGTTCCTTTTAGGTTTTCATGTCTCTACAGAAACAATCTTTTCATCTGTTGTATCTCCTCCAACCTTTAAAATATTGATGTAGTTGTGTTCGTGTGTGTGTGTGTGTGTGTGTGTGTGTGTACGCGCTCAGTTGCTCTGTCTTTGCGACCCTGTGATCCCATGGACTGTAGCCTGCCAGGCTCCTCTGGCCACAGAATTTTTCAGGCAAGAATACTGGAGTGGGTTGCCATTTCCTATTCCAGGGAATCTTCCCAGCCCAAGGATTGAACCCACATCTCTTACATCTCCTGCATTGGCAGACGAATTTTTTACCACTGCGTCACCTGGGAAGCCCCACTTGTTTTAAGGCACTGTCTCCTAATTCTAATGCCTAGAGCATGGTTGGGTCTGCTTCCAGAGATTATGTTTTCTTTTGATTATAAGTTACGGGGCCCCATTTTGTCACATTTTATAGTTGTTTATATAGTTTTGTGTAAACTACATTTGAGACTGAAGCATAATTTGATATTGTTTACTTCAGAGAAAATGCAGACTCTTGGCTGCCTCTGTTAGGAAGAGGGCCAGGTCATTCAGGTTCCTCATACAGTTGAGTTGAGGTGGGCGACACCTCAGCTTTAATTATGTTCAATATGTCTGTTGTTACCTCAGCTCTGAACCTCTAGCTCTACCTCTTTTTTTCTATTTTTTCTTTTATTTCCTTTCAGTTCACTTTTCAGATTGACTCACAGCTTAAAACATAAATGAAGGTTTTGAAATCACGAACTATATGAGTACTAATACTCAGAATCTGGTAATATATGCCCCATGTGAGAATTGACCTAAGGGTGAGGGTGTCCATCACATACTCTAGGTGGAGGACACTTAGAACCACTGGAACTCACTAGAGGGATCAGGAATCTCTCACCCCGGAGAAGGACATTACAGAGTTGAAATGGGATTATTTTAATTCGATCTTAGGATCAAAATGAGAGAACTAGTATTTTCTACCATGACTGTTACCTTTTGATCCTTCCACTCATATGTGGCAAGGGAATTTACAGAAAAGTTTTGAGTACAGATCTTCCCGGATATTTATTTTCCTGGAGAGAATGAATTAAAATTAATAGACAAGTAAAATGTTCCACTGGGGACAGCATGGTTCTTTTGTCCCCAGCTGGATCTTGTCACCTTTCTAGACACTAAAAGTACAGGCCTACAGAGAGATGAGCTAATGACATCCTTGCCTTGAAATTGTTCCAGTCCCTTTCACATACTTAGATCACCCCACACATCCATGGGTAAGTGCCTCTTTGTTCCACACACTTAGAATCAGTGCATGGATGGGCTTGTAGGCAGGCTAGAGAAAGAGGCAAATTTGGTCTAATAGTGATGTTTTTTTTCAGATGAACCATTCTACTCTAACCATCTCCCAGGTCAGAGGATGGTTTTCTCTTTAGTGGAGTGGAGAAATGTTCTTGTTAGTGTAGTTAGTCCTTTAAGTTGGTGACTCATAAAATTAATGGGTTTTTTCATGTGAAATACTAAATTAGTTAATTGTTGATATGTATTTTTTTCCCTGAATAAAATTACTTTTATTTACTTGCTATTTCAGTTCTCAAGGAAGAGATTATACTGTTATGTTAGAGTATTACTAATATAATCATATTTTTCTTAAAGGAACAAATTTTTAGCTCTGACTGGGTTTTCATTAAATATGCTCAGTTTCATTTCTCTCATTTTCATAAATCAATTAGAGATTTTAAAAATAAGTGCCCTGTGGGTTTTGGGTTATTAAAAAAAAAAAACTAAGCATTTAGAAGAAAACCAGATTCTTTGTTTGAAACATGACTTTGTAAAGAGAGTTTAACTTCACATTCCTACAAAATATTTACCACTTTTTTCTCATGAAGATCTTTCTTGTCCCAGTTTTACCTTCATGAGTTTCAAATTAATGTAGATAGGACTATGTTCCAGCAGTCAGGGAATTTCAAATCAGAGGACAGTGAAAATGAGGCTGCGATTACATAAAAAATAAAGAAAACATAGTGCTGATGGTAGACGTGTCCCCTGCCTGTCTACTGGAGACCTAACATAGAATCAACAGTATTTGGTGAGGAGAAAGACTTTGTGTCTACTTCTCTTTTCTCCATAGGTTATTCTTTTTAAAAATATCTGTTCCCTTTAATTTCGGATATGCCAGAACCCATTTCATTAGAAGGAAAATTTGGAACAAAAAATTTTCATCTGCCCTGACCTCTATGCTTGAGTTTTAGATATTTTTTCCAAACTATATCTTGTGAATTTATTATGAGAGAAATGTAAACTGATCTTTTTTTACTGAAGTACAAAGAAGAGGATGATAAAGTAAAAACTCTAAAAAAAAAAAAAAAAGTAAAAACTCTGAAGCAAGTAAACCAGACCCATTCTCATGTAGGACTTTTTGGGTTTGTGATAAAGTACCTCTGGGGTTTTCCTTTGTGTTTGGAATAATGATTACTCTTGTTTTGATTTTTCACAGAATAGATGTACAAATATCGATGCTGTAAATACCCAGCCATGTGTAAGCAACCATCCCGAGCTATACTTTGCAATCCTTGGAATCTGTAAAAACAGTAGATCATTCTCACCCATGTGTTTTAGGAAACTGCTGCTGTTGACATTTTCGACCGTACTCAGGTTTCTTTTTCACTCTCCTGAGGTTCATATGTTTCCAGATGCTCTGTACCCGTCACTGACATCTGGGTGGTGTGACTTTGCTTCCTTGACTTTTCAGGCCCTTTCTCCATTTTTCTCTTCCCAGTTCTCCAGCTAGAATGTGCCACAAGGTGGAACGTGTTTTCTAGCACACCCACAGTCCAAACCCACACACATGGCACATTGTCACTCTCTCCTCCCAGATCCTTTCCGTTCATTCCTACTTTATAAAAGAGGATAGCAACAATGGAAGTGAAGGTGCTACATTATACAGTGAGAAACCAAGATATGCTCTTTCATGTGTCTGTGGCACATCGCATATTGCTGAACATAAATCACACTGTTTATGCCTTATCTCCATCCCAGGGAATTATTCTGTTGGTGTTGTACAGTGAACACATGCTCTCTCCTTTCCTTCACCCTGTCATCTGTCCACAAGGTCACAGCACCCACATTTACCTTGGGGCCTGGTGCGGGGTGTCCTCTTCCCACTCACAGTCATCACTTCTCTGACCCCTGGCTCGAGTGAAATGACCTTAACATTCTTCAGTAGTGTGTGGCCCATTCGGATGGCACTGTGTATCACATAATTGCACAGTGATACTGTGTCTAAAGTGACTGCTTCCTGGATCAGGTTTTTAGAAAGGAACCTCAGCTATGAGCCTCAGTCTGTGCCATCAGTTACAGCAGCTCCTAGTGGTAATTTTCCCAAATGAATGCCTGTTTCTCATGGACATGTATCACTCCATTTATGTGTTGTTTTGTTTTCCTTGCTTTATCTTTTGTTTTTGTTTCCTAATTTTCCCACATAGCTTTTCTTTCCTCTTTCTCAGTGTAGCCTCTTAGAATATGACCTGTTTCAGAATTTTCTTTTATGTTATTGTGCCTGTGACTTAGGTCATTATGATCAAGCCCCTTTGAGGGCATCTCAGGTGTATAAATGAGATTTTTTGTGCTTGGTACATTAGGAGAGCCAGATACCACCTGAACATCAGTCACTGCTAAGAGGCTTGTTTGAAGAAGGTCTCATAGGTCACCCTGTTGATGGGAAAAGTTTCTGCTCTGTCACTGCTCTCCTGAGCAGTGGTGTGCAATTCAAGTAGTAAGTGTGATGAAGCATGGATGTGCAAGGACACACACAATAGGATTTATTTTAGCTTATTTTAATGAAATATTCATATTTTCCAGAATATGTTTTCTAATGAAGCACAGAAATAGGTATATATCTTTCTTTTCTAAAAAATGTTTATTTATTTATCTGCCCTGGGTCTTAGTTGTGGCCCTCAGGATCTTTCTTTATAATATTTATGTAAAAATAAACAAATAAATATTTAGAGTATGTTTCTCACTAATAGAGTTGTCTATGAACCTTGAAGTCTGGATGTAGTTGGATGATTAGAGTCATAATTCCTCTTGTCTCTCCTGGCACTCCATGCCAGCTAATGTAACTGGGTGCTTTTGATTGTGTTACTGTTTGTCACCTTCCTGGATCAACTTTTCTGCTTCTACTACGGAATTTTCCTATAGAGAAAGATTTGCCAGTGGTTTTAATAATGACTGTTGACTGTGAAAAGTAAAAAGCAAGGTAAAAATGAGCAACTAACTTCTATGAAGTATGACAGTTAATTTTAGCGGTACCGCTAGAGCCCAGCCCAGTAATGGGCTACATTATCCACCGTGGGTGGGTTGTGCAGGGGTGGGCTGGGGGAGAGAAGCATAATGACACCCAGGTAGGCGTGAAGGCAGACTTGAGTATCACGTCCATGGATGCATTGAAATGGATGCATTCGGATCAATCCACATGTTTTGATCATGGTAATAGTGTTGGTTGAAAATGGTGAAGGTAATATTTGTGGTAAAGAGAATTTTTCCTGCTTTTCTCTTCAGACATTCACTATAAATAGATGTCCCCATAGAGATGGATGAAGATAAACCCTCCAGTTCTATTGCTATAAGAAATGCATTCTTCTGCGAGGTTGGTATTGGGATCTCAGCCAACACTATCCTTCTTCTCTTCCACGTCCACACCTTCCTTCTCGAGCACAGACCCAAGCCCATTGATCTGATGATTAGTCACCTGGCCCTAATCCACATAGTCATGCTAGTAGCCGTGGGGTTCATAGGTATAGACATCTTTGGGTCTCAGGATGCTTGGGATGACATCAAATGTAAATCAGTTTTCTACTTACACAGGATGACAAGGGGCCTCTCCGTTTGTACCACCTGTCTGCTGAGCATCTTCCAGGCCGTCACCCTCAACCTCAGAAACTCCTGTCTGGCAAAATTCAAACTTAAATTGTCAAATCACAACCTACGTTGCTTTCTCCTCCTCTGGGTCTTTAACATGCCCATTAATAGTCGCTATTTAGTCTCAACCATTGCCACACCCAATGTGACCTCGGACAGTTTTCTGGCTGTCACTGAATCCTGCTCTCTCTGGACCTTGAGTTACTTTCTCAGGTACATATATTTCCCCCTAGTGACCTTCTGGGATGTCTCTCTTATAGGGCTCACGGCCCTCTTAAGTGGATACATGGTGACTCTCTTGTATAGGCATAGAGGCAGTCACACACCGTCACAGCACCGAGCTTTAATGAAAGCATCCCCAGAAGAAAGGACCACCGAGACCATCCTGTTGCTCATGAGTTTCTTTGTGGTCATGCACTTTCTGGACTGCATGGTCACTTCCTTCTCAGGAATGTTGAGGAAGAGTAACCCAGGTCTTCTCTTTGTCCAGATGCTCGTAGGCAGTGGCTGTGCCACCATCAGTACTTTTGTGCTAATCCATACTGAAAAACGAAGGATCACATTCTTAAAATTCATAAAGGGGAAGGACAGTAAATGTCTAATTATTCAGTGATAGATAACTTGTCTTAAGTGAGCCAGTTCACCATTTCGGAATGATTAATGGTGGTGTACACGATATGCTGTCTTGAATGATTTAAATGTATGGAGTTATGCTTTTTCTCCTAAATGTATTTAGTTTATATTTGTGGCTGACAAGTACCTAATAGATAATGTAACTCTACAACTATCTAAGAAGACACAAACTTCTAATTCTAATCAATCTCCTAAGAGACAGAGGTCTTAACACAGTTTCAAACTCTAAAGTGAGACAAAATAGAACAATTACTGTCTGGAGATGGACAAAGGGCCAAGAAGAAACAAAAAGAAAACATAACGAAGGGCACAAAGGAAATCTGGGGGTTGACTGTGGTTGTAGATCTGGAATAACCACTAATCTAATATGAATATGACACCTGTTAAAGAAATAAAAAGGACTCATAAAAATCCTAGACATGAAATTTTTAGAAATTGAAATTAAAAATACTATCCAGTTCTAGACCACTGGAACCCATTCCTCTTGTTAATTGTGGCTGAAATATTTGGACAAAATATTTTTTCAAAACTACCTGAGGACTCTGATAAATACACAAAAACAAGCTAATTGTGGAAGAAGCCAAATCTTGGAGATGCAGCCTACATAGGTGTCAGTTTCCACTTCTTTTCTCTCATGGACTTCTGAAGATCTCATGGATCGACATGACAATGGTAACAGAAATAATATACTTCTGGCCAGAGGAAACAGGCTAAAGGACCTGTGAAGGCCAGAGACTGTCGGAGGGAATCCCACAGGGGAGACCACCAGAGAAGGGCCCTTCTAATTCTATGTATTCTTCAAGAGATGGGAATACCAGACCACCTTACCTCCCTCCTGAGAAATCTGTATGCAGGTCAAAAGCAGTGGTGAGAACCGGACATGGAACAATGGACTGGTTCCAGATAGGGAAAGGAGTATGTCAAGGCTGTATATTGTCACCCTTTTTATTTAACTTACATGCAGAGTGCATCATGCGAAATGCTGAGCTGGATGAAGCACAAGCTGGAATCAAGATTGCAGCGAGAAATACCAATAAACTCAGATATGCAGATGATGTTACCCTTATGGCACGAAGCGAAGATGAACTAGAGACTCTTGATAAAAATGAAAGAGGAAAGTGAAAAACCTGGCTTAAAACTCAACATTCGAAAAACAAAGATCATGGCATCCGGTCCCATCACTTCACAGCAAATGATGTGGGGAAACGATGGAAACAGTGAGAGATTTTATTTCTAGGGGTTCCAAAATCACTGCAGATGGTGACTGCAGCCATGAAATTAAAAGACGGCTGAGGAAACCAGATCTGAAAGAGACACGTGCACCCCAGTGTTCATCGCAGCACTGTTTATAATAGCCAGGACATGGAAGCAACCTAGATGCCCATCAGCAGACGAATGGATAAGGAAGCTGTGGTACATATACACCATGGAATATTACTCAGCTGTTAAAAAGAATTCATTTGAATCAGTTCTAATGAGATGGATGAAACTGGAGCCCATTATACAGAGTGAAGTAAGCCAGAAAGATAAAGAACATTACAGCATACTAACACATATATATGGAATTTAGAAAGATGGTAATGATAACCCTATATGCAAAACAGAAAAAGAGACACAGATGTACAGAACAGACTTTTGGACTCTGTGGGAGAAGGCAAGGGAGGGATGTTTCGAGAGAACAGCATGTATATTATCTATAGTTAAACAGATCACCAGCCCAGGTGGGATGCATGAGACAAGTGCTCAGGCCTGGTGCACTGGGAAGACCCAGAGGAATCGGGTGGAGAGGGAGGTGGGAGGGGGGATCGGGATGGGGAATACATGTAACTCCATGGCTGATTCATGTCAATGTATGACAAAACCCACTGAAATGTTGTGAAGTCATTAGCCTCCAACCAATAAAAATAAATGAAAAAATAAGTAAATAAATAAATAAATACTTTCTTAACCAGGAAAAAAAAAAAAGAAATTAAAAGACGGTTGGTCCTTGAAGAAAAGCTATGACAAACCTAGACAGTGTATTAAAAAGCAGAGACATGATTTTGCTGACAAAGATCTGTCTAGTTAAAGCTATGGTTTTTCTAATAATCACGTATGAATGTGAAAGTTGGATCATAAAGAAAGCTGAGCACCAAAGAATTGATGATTTTGAATTGTGGTGTTGGAGAAGACCCTTGAGAGACCCTTGGACAGCAAGGAGATCCAACCAGTCCATCCTAAAGGAAATCAGTCCTGAATATTCATTAGAAAGACCAATGCTGAAGCTGAAGCTCCAACACTTTCGCCACCTGATGTGAAGAACTGACTCACTAGAAAAGACGCTGATGCTGGGGAAGATTGAAGGCAGGAGAAGGGGACGACAGAGGATGAGACGGTTGGATGGCATCACCGACTCAATGGCCATGAGTTGGAGAAGCTCCGGGAGTTGGTGAAGAACAGGGAAGCCTGGCGTGCTGCAGTCCATGGGGTTGCAAAGAGTTGGACACAACTGAGCGACTGAGCTGAACTGAACTGAATTCTGTGTGTGCCCCTCACGAGTCTTGGCACAGCCAGGCACACACACTGGAGAGACCCGAACCAACACAGCTGAGACTGGAACAGGCCAAAGAGAAGATGAAGCAGAACTTTCCGTTTTCCTCTAAAACAAAAGCACTTTCATTCCCCAGAGGATTGTAATAGGCCTGAAAGCATAGTACAATATTCAGAAGTCCAAAATACAGTTCAAAATTACTCAACACACAAAGAAACAGGAAAATGTGACCCATATACTAAGGCACAGTAAATACATAGATGCCATACCCAAGATAACACAGATACTAAAGTTATAGACTCAAAGAAGCTCTCAGAAGTTATAAGTAAAATAACAATTTGTTCATGCATTCACTTCTTAAAGGATACTGTAATTTGAATATTGTTTCCTCTACACAAAATGCATCATTTTCCCCTGATAGACTTCAAAATATTTTCTTTGCCTTTAGTTTTAAGCAGTTTGTTTGCTAAGTATTTGTCCTGTATGGGATTTACTGATCTTTCTAAACTGGTGCTTGCTAAAGGCAAGGGTGTGTGTGGGCAAAACGGGTGAAGGGGATCAAAAGATACAAATTTCCAGTTATAAAGTAGATGCAGGAGATGAAATGTAGAATATGGTGACTATAGTTAATAATACTGTATTACGTATTTGATGAAAGTTGCTGAGAATAGATCTTAACACTTAAAATTACAAGAAAAAAATATGTAAGGATTATGGGTATGGGTGTGGTGGGTATGGGTATATACTGTGGTGATCGTTTCACAGTATATGCATATACCGTCATTATGTTGTACACCTGAAACTAACATAATGTTGCATGTATGCATGCTCAGTCACTCAGTCTTGTCCAGCTCTCTGCGACCCCATGGACTGTAGCCCGCCAGGCTCCTCTGTCCATGGGATTCTTCAGGCAGCAGTACTGGACTGGGTTGCCATGCCCTCCTCCAGGGGATCTTCCTGACCCAGGGATCGAACCTGTGTCTCCTGGGGCTCCCTCACTGCAGGCAGATTCTTTACCACTGAGCCACTGGGGAAGCCCAACCTAATGTTATGTCAATTATATCTCAATAAAAAAATAACATATATTAAATATAGCAGATTTAGGAGAATTCCCAGCTTGGCCACACACAACTTGAGGAATAGCTCTTGCCCAGTGAATACAGGTGATTGTATAGAGCCTCGGTTATCTGCACAAATTCCACCTTCCTTTTAGTTTCCCTTTGAGGTCTTGCTGGCCCTTTCTAATCATCAGGTCAAGCAAATCCATTTTTACAGTTTACACTCTAGTTTTAGTCAGTAAATAGTATCTCTCTCTTTGCAGCCCCATGGGCTGTAGCTTGCCATACTCCTCTGTCCATGGGATTTCCCAGGCAAGAATACTGGAGTGGGTTGCCGTTTCTTCTTCCAGGGGATCTTCCTGACCAAGGAATTGCATTGGCAGGAGGGTTCTTTACCACTGTGCCACCTGGGAAACTGGGCTAGCCATTAGCTTCCCTTACATTTTTTTTTTTTGCCAGTGTTAACAGGTAAGTGAAAGTTGCTCAGTCATGTCTGACTCATTGCAACCCCATGGACTATACAGTACATGGAATTCTCCAGGCCAGAATACTGGACTGGGTAGCCTTTCCCTTCTCCAGGAAATCTTCCCAACCTGGGACTGAACCCAGGTCTCCCGCACTGCAGGCGGATCTTTACCAGCTGAGCCACCAGGGAAATAAAGACACTGTCTTTCGCTGTGACTGTGCTGGTAGGGAGAGTCTCGGGCGACTGGCATCCAGTGTTGTCACACCCGCTCTGGGCTAATTTGGAGTCTCCAGGAGCTGGTGAATTTCTTTCAAAGAACAAAGTTGGCTGATGTAGTTTCCGTAAAGGTTTTTCTCTTTAATAATGAAAATATATCAGCTAATTACTATAATCAACCTCCTCTATCTTCTAGAAGAAGATAAAACAATTAAAGCTCTAGCTAAAGCCTTAATTGGATCAAGTTAAACCCTTTCAGCAATAATGCTTCATGGAGGCTGTGCTTTACGCAAGGAATCCGCCTGGAGTCGGGCTGGGATTGCTCTGCTGGGTGGCAGCAGCCAGAGCTGGCCACTCCCTTTGCAGCTGTCCACGCACCTTGCGACGCCCAAGGGTCTAAAATCACTTATTGGAGAATATTCCCTGATTGGCCCCTGATGAAAAACCCAGATTCATATGGCCTTGGAAACTGAGAACTATACACAAAAAAGTTTTCATCCACATGTTGCTTCTTTATCATTTTCTGAGGATGAAGGAAGTTTTTACTTTGGGGACTCCCTCTTTCCCTGTGACATGACAGGTACTGTCAGACTTTTGATGCAACAGCAAGATTCCTGGTCTCTGGAGAGAGGAGCTAAAGCCATCTATCCATATGAGCACACCCAGCAGCCTCCACACAGAGACCCAGCTGAGTGTCTCCTGATTGTTCA